CCAGCAATCGGAACAGTAACAATACATACCGCAGGCGTAGGCGGCCCCTTTGCATTATCGTCGAGACTGAGATTGATACTTCGAGCATGAGGGAATCGGATTATGCCTTCGCCTCCGATATGAATACATTTTATGGCTGCTCCGAATTGGTGAGCATCATCAATTGAAATACCCCCTGACGAGACATGTCGAGGATGAAATCGTTGAAGGGACTGTGACCAGTTTCAAGATGTACCCCCCTGGTTGGACAGACAGAGGGGAGAGCAGAGAGAGCGGGAGCGGCAGACAGCATACCAGAGGAAATAAGAGTACCTTTACGAAAATGACCAATAGACATAAGGTTGCGACCCCACACTTTAGCATCAGTGCAGGCCTTGGTCAGGATATCACCAGCCTCAAACTGAGAGGGACACGTCACAAACAGAAAGTCACCAGCGTGGTAGCGTTCATTCAACGCAGAAATATCGATACGCTGGGTACGAGACATATGACGCATATTAGGATTGTGACCAGTGATAATGACTCGGATGGCAGCTTCATTGTCTTCCATGACACGCAAACGGAAGCGACGGCCCAACATATACTCCCACATGGAGAGAGCGGGCAATCCCAGTTTATAGACGGCGTGATCAAGGGAGACAATTTCGGCTTCGGGAGTAGACTTCGACACAGAAGTCTGCTTCTTGGACAGCGCATTAAGAGGCATAAAGCTACGCGGGCCAAGAAGACACATGAATACACCAGACGTGCTCTTGGAATCAGTGCGGTCGCCCGCAAGATCAGCATCGCAATAGAGCACAAGCTCCAACATCTCGGGCGCATCACCAATCCAACCATATAAATTGAGATCGAGGGTGGAATTGATATAACACACCAAACGATGAAGCTTCTTGTCACACAAACCATCCCACTTTGTGATGAGACTAGCAAGTGCCTGCACAGGACGGATGAGATCGTACCGTCCCATACGAGCACCATACAAGATTTTCATCAGGACAGCGGCAGCGCAGTCACCGAGAACGCCCTTACCAGGAGGCACAGGCGTATCGGTGGGATGGCCCAACAAGCGGTTCACCTCGGGACGATCCGGATTAGTATCGAACTCCGGTCGTGACTCATCGAGAAACGGCGTGTCAGCCGACCGCAAGGTGGCTTTGTATTTCGGACCACAGAGCTCGAGACACATTGCTCCATGAACGATCGCATATCGTACTTGATCATTCGGATTTCGCGAGGACCGACAGAGCCCTGAGCGACAGTAGTGCCACGATCGCCAAAAGTGAGCTCGGGAAATGCCTTCTTGGGTTCCTCGAAACGCGTCCAATAGGAGCGCGGATCAAAAGAATTAGGAACAACATGGGAGAAAGTAACATGCTCACAACCCAAATAACGTTTGATGCTCGAGGGTGGCTCCAGTTTAATCTTTGATGCCATGAGCTCCCACCCTTTGGCCAGATTGGCCTTTGGTCCACTGAGCTTAAAATCATCGACGTAGACCACGAGCATAAGGTTAAGCTTGGGATGGCGAAACACGCTCTTCCAGTCAGGGCATTGCTCGAAGCCAACAGAGCGGAGAGCCTTTTCGCAATGCTGTTCCCAGAACCCACCGGCATCCGGGTGCCCATAAAGGGCCAACACAAGACGCACAACCGGGTCATGATACTTTCCATGCCATTCGGGCAGCCATCGATCTTTGGGCAGTCGCACCCATGTGGCGGGGCCACCAAGCTTAGCTTGAGTGTAGGCGGACTCGCCGTCAGCAACTTGTATTTCGTGACCGGGCAAGAGACCGAAAGCATCAGCGGCCTTCCCTGCCTCCATGGTCGCTGATAACCTGTGAAAAGCGGAGGATTCCACTCAACTCTCGGTCACAAAGCCCAAGGCAGCCGATCGCAGATCAAAGCAAAGCAAGCGGTGCAAAGCAGGACAATCAGAGATTAAAACCGTAAGTTTGACGCTCAGCGGAAAGGCAACACTAGAACCCCCAGGCGCTAGCGGACCTTTTCCTGCACGCCTGTCCTTTGGGAAATTTGTACTTAAGTACATTTTTTTTTCTAAGGACAGGCCAGCGTCACGCTGTTTTTTGTGCTTTCGGAGGCTTGCGTGTTGGGGGACCTGAGCCGGGAGTGATGGAAGGCAGCCACTTGAGCCAAAAAACAAAAAAAATAAAAAACAAAACAGTTCTGGCGGATTTCAAGCAAAAACGGAGAGATACATGTGTGCATTATATAGTATGTGTATGTATTTTGTAAGCAAACATGTGTTGTGTAGCGTTTAGAAGAACCCCAAAACCCTGAAAAAGACCTTTCCCTTCCTTCTCTCCTCACTTTCGCACAGAATGCAGCAAACATGTCGCGTGAAATGCCCAAGCTTCGTAAGCATCGGATGACATCAGTCACGATTGCGTTGTCAAGCACGTAGATACGTCCTAATAAGTAATTCCGTATAGATTGTGGCAACCGCAGTCAGGACAAACAAAGGCTGCATCAGGGGAAAGTAGCTGCGATATTTGTTCGGCCATCGCAGTAATGTGACACGTACGTAGACAAACAGTACGTTCTTTACTCCGGAAGCCACAGCAAAGTTGGACCCCAGATAAATAATTTAGCCACCGTGCGAGCCCTGAAAACTACACACCCCGCGCGGAGCCACCGCGAACCCTTAGAAACCTACACACCCCGCGGGGCCTAACCCATCAGACCGCGGCTACACCATAAACCCTGGCTATCATCAAGCCAATAAACGCCAGCAAAGCACCCAACCCACAAACACGGGCCGAAGTAAACCCCAAACCCTATTATTCCGCTGTACTATAAGCCTACACGCAAACAATTAAACGTATCAACGAAACCCGAGGAAGCCTGACAAACTGAAAAGCCTCACCCTCCAACCCCAAACCCCAAACATCAAATGCCAAGCCCCGCAGACCCTAAATCCGAAACATCTTGTACCCACATGTACCCCGAGCAAAAGCAGGCCCTAAGCCCCAAGCCCAATTTCTCAATAGCTTAAACCCCCGACCCTACAGTATGTGAGGCCAAATATATGATATCTGAAGACTCCAGCGAGAATATGCAGGCCTAGATTCCGAAGACTCAAACCAACCCCTAAACCCCAAACCCCAAACGCGAAGGCCTAAACCCGAAACCCTAAAAACTTAAACCGCCAACTCCAAATATTATATATGTACATATATATATATATGTACATATATAATATTTGGAGTTGGCGGTTTAAGTTTTTAGGTTGTCACGAAATCTGAAATTGCCCAGCCCACCCCAGCGCAGACACGACTGCTCGCAAGCCACTATATTTACCGGCATCCATGCACGCTCATGCATGAGTGGCAAGCCAATGCGCCAACAGATGTTGCCCGAAATGTTATTTGGGCGGCATCGCGTAGATCAAGCTATGCAAAATTGTTGCACATGCACTCACGCAGCTATATATAGGGCGCCCCTGCGAAATGATATTTGGGCCTATAGCTGTGGCAAATCTCACTCAGATGTTGCCCGAAATGATAGTTGGGCCTGAGCAATATATCAAGCTATGTGAAATCGCAAAAGTTGCCCAACGAATCGAACTGAACCGCTTCTTGTTTTACCGCCCCGCCAGCCAGCAGTTATACTGCAAGAGCCACCTTTGCAGCACTCGGAGCGACAGCGTAGCGGCGTGCACGGCCCCACGGGCACATTTCATGACTTTGCCGACAAAGTCCTCCTCGAGATTGCACCCGGCGTACCGGGGATTCAATCGGCTGTATGTCAATCTGCAAACGCATTCGCAATGATATTGATGAAACTTTGGCCTGATCTTATACCTGAGTGCGGTTCTGCTCATATTCTTGATCGTTAGCACACTCCATGCTTGCATGTAATCACATATTTAGACGGGAGGCCGTGGCTCCAGCATCTCGAGATATCGCGATGCCAGGGCCAGGTAGGAGTGGCAATACCATCTGCCGAGCCTTGGATCATCACAGACTTCTACAAAATTCGTTTTTGCACAACAGGGCTCCACACACACGCAACACCGGTGCAGCAACGGTTCTGCTGCGCCAGCATTGCCTGCTCATCCGACAGCCAGATTGAGCAGGCGTCCAGCAAATTCGAGAATGCTGTGATCGACCAGGCATTCACTGCCGCCAATCGAAGCTCGGGAATCGTTTGGCAAACCTCCTTAGGCCCAAATCCTATACAAACCACAGCTGAATACAAGCGTGGACCGCAGATCGTCAAGCAGAGAATATCGCAAGGCAAGAGGCAGACAGCCGTTCGGCTAAGTACGCCATCCTTATATAGGCACATGCAATGTTTGTGCTTTGCTCCCTTTGCGCTCTCCCTATACTCTCCCTCTCTGCTGAATTATTGGTGTGCCAAGCAACAAGACACGGTTTGCATATCCTTTTCCCGGCCCCTTCGGGTACTCCAATGTGACCGCATCGATTCCCAGCTTCACCAAACCTCAGATATATTTTGCGGATGCAGCACGAATTGTCAGTACGGAGTGGTTCCAGCAGCCGAAAATACGAGCAGCTGGGTGACTCAGTCCATCAAGAATGCTGGGTCGGATATGGTGCTCCGTGCACCACATCTGAAAGTCCACATGCAGGTGATGCAACCTTTCATCCCACGTTTCGTAAGCCTGAAACTGCGGAGAAAACTTCGCCAGCTCCATAACATGAGACGCAGTGGCATCCCTCTCAGTTCCCAGATACAGGCAATGGAGCAAATCTGGATACTCACAGGAGTGGTGGTAGCCAGGAATTCTCCACATCCTCGAATACGACACTTTGCGGCGCAACATGCACGGCGGACACGCACTTGGTAATTGTCTAGAGCCTGAACGCAAAGTTAAAAGTTTCCAAACATAAGTCAAGCCTGGTGACGCGATGTTTGCACCAACGCCTAAGACAAACGAAGCAGCGCGTGCAATAAGTGACACCCGCGACACAACTCAAGCCAGCTCCACACCACACTTGCATTAGAGCACCATGCCGCCTAGCTACTATCATTCGAAGCTTCATCCAAGTCTGCCTGGTTATCGAAGCCCTCACGCATGTCAGCCCAATGCTTTCCAGGTGTGCTGCCATCGCACAAGCATCTCGGGCAGATTCTGCCGGCGTTCTGCTCACGAGGAGCATTGCTAGCAAGGTTCCCGTAGCTTCTACATTGTTCCAACCATTCCCTTTTGTGCTTCCAATCTCCCTTCGATATGACAGGGTGCATGGTCCATCCGTGTTGGCCTTCGCTGGCGGGGTCGCCACAAATCCGAAAGGAATCGGCGTAGTAGCGCTGTAGCGCCTGAAGCGTGATATTCTGGCCGTTGTCGTAGACAAATCTGTCTGATCGCACAACCTCAGCCATGATTCACACACACTGTGTGCATGTGCACATCCGCTGCACGCATACATAAGCGACGTCTGGAATTCACATAGATGCATTAGAGGAATCTAAAACACCGGCCAGGGCACACAGAACGGGAACTTCTGCAGCATCGAGTCGCCCCGGTGGATGGCCAAGGGCGAAAGCGACAGGATCAAGATGCTTTTGCTCCTCTTCCCAGTACCCTCATCGCCGTGAATCGACACGGCCACCGCTTTTTGCCTGGCCTCCTCCGGCCAGGACTGCACCGGATGATTCCTTGTATATGTTGCCGGATCGACATATGAAACATTCCACGTACTGCACTCTAGAAAACAAACAAGACACAGTCCACACACACCTGCATGCTGCGAGAAAAACGCATCCCCCATGGCTCGCTCTTGGCCTTCTGCCACCAGTCCAGCCAGTCGACAGTGCCCGCCCTTATTGATTGCGCAGTGTGGATGGAGAATTCAAAACATCACGACATCACCAACATGCGAGAGCATCTATTCCAATCTATGCATATGCACGCATGCAATGCCAGCAAGCATCAGCTCTGCGATCAAGCCAGAGCAAACCATGCTCTTAAAGAGAATATGAGGCAACAGCACCGGCAGCGTTTGCATGCACTTATTCTCAGTCGACTGGGCCCTCTTGCTCTTCTTCTTGGGGTTTCGCCTCCTCGGCAAACCAGCCCTCCTCAAGCGACAATTGATTTGTCGTCGCACTTCTTGTTCTCGTCGCGCTTCAGCACGCATATCTTTCATCATGAGGGACACCGAACTCAAAGGGCATACTAGTGGAGCCTCGGATATCCTTGCATACATTCCGACATGTTCTTTAGACGGCATACATATATTATTTATATTTAGACATCTAATATAATTCAGACCGGCGACATCGCTCTTCGAGGAAGATACAGCCTTGCTCAGTTGCTCCTCGATGTGTTGCGCACAACGTCCTGATGCGCCCAAACTCGCAGCCCACCTGGTACCTTGGAACCGGGCATCTGCGTGCATGATTTGCCAAGGCATGCAATGATATAAGGTATTATAACCATTGTGCAACAAGGCACTGGGGGTCACATTTGCATCCCCTGCTTCTGCGACGGCCGCAGACGCCACTTCTTGAAGAAGTCCGGAGCTGGCTCCCCGGCCCACGTGAAAACCGAGTGTTCTGCTCAACGCGCTTTTCCGCAATGAAAACTCGGCAAAAGATGGTCTTCTGGCAACAGAACCATCACTGCCAGCAGTCGCCTGATTTCTGTCCAGGCTCTTTTTCAAATGAACCAGTCTCTTCAGCAGCGGCATAGGAGCCCAGGCTGGGGTCAGACAGCACGAAAAGGAAAGCCATGATGACGTGTAGGGTGGGCTGCATGGGTGGGCTCGTGTAGGGTGTGGTGGTGCATGGTGATACATAGTGGCATGTTGCATACCAAAGTGCATAGGGTGGTCTTGCATGGTGCATGGTGGTATTGTGCATGGTCGCATTGGGGAGTGAATCATACAAGTAGTATTACAAGGTGACCGATGATCCAGAGGTTGAATGAAAGAGAACGTCATCGCATGACTCAACAAAAACTCTACATGGGGCTGGGTTGGCACCTCGAACATAAGAAGCATGGCCGTGCACACATATGCTCATGGACGACTGATGCCAGACTCAAGGACACGCGCTTCAGGCTTCAAGCCATGCATGACAAGTCGACTACACAAACCGCATCAATGCTTTTGGGGGATGATCGCACTTGATGCTGCCGGCCGGAAGTGACTCAAGGCAGGACTGCAGTACACTGCAAACCCCAGGCACTCCAGCATGCGGCGGCCTCCTGTAAGATGCACAGCACACTAATCATTGATGCAGAACGCCAACTTCAGGGTTTCGGTGTTTCGGACTTAGGACGCAGGATTTTGGAGCTTTGGGTTTAGGATCTACAAACACTTCCGGAACAAGGTAGCAAGAGTATATCTGCGATGGCAGCTAGTCACACAACATAGAGTGCCGCGCATGCTGTTCTCAAAAGATGAACTGCTGGCCGATCCCCGCTCACACTCAGAGCACACTGGTTTTTTCAGAGGCAGAGTGCTGAGCACAGCAACCCTCCAGCCATCAGCAGATCGAAGGAAAGGAAAAGGAGGCTTCCATGGGTCGGATGCAAAATAGCGGTTAATTCGGGAACCTTGATGGTATCAGCAGGCGGTATGAACCCCGAACACCAACACGTCCCAATTAGAATGATTGATGCAACCAAACCACACTATGCTAAACACTACATACATATATAGATGTATATGCCACTCCGAAAACGAGAAACCATGAAAACACATACATACAGACAGGGCTCAGCTAGGACCTACGGTTCGTTATAAGACGATTTACAGGGTTCTAGCTGTTTAGGATTCGACGTATTGTGCTATGTTTCCTACTCAACCGCTACCCACCCACCCACCTATCATACCTAGACCGGCTACAACCATATGCAGAAGCTACCATATATGCGCCTCGGTTTGCATCCGGACCTAAGCCTGTGCTGCAGCCTTTGCAGCCGACTTGGCTTTCTTGGCCGTCTTATTCGCGGGACGTCGCTCCGAAGCGATCCTGAGCCGAACAAGAATCGTGATCTATTTTACGAATAACATCAAGCTTCACATGGATCGACTGTCACACACAATATAAGCTGCACATGCCAACAAAAAAACATCCTATATATATACATCTGAAGCAAGAAGCAGGCCATTCGCCACTCGAAGATGCTTCTTGAAACCCTCCACAAACACGGTAGCCTAGGAGGTGTCGCATGCAGTGTGCCGAGAGGCAAGGGTCAAGGTCTGCACACACACACACACACACATACACTGCACATCGTAACCGAAACATCTGCCCAAGTCGCCTCCAGCAGGGCCGATTGCACATCGGCGGCCACTGGCTCTGTCCCCATGAGCTGGAGCTTCTTGCGACAAGCCCCGATGCCTTCGGCACAGTCCTTAATCTTCCCCATCAAAGCCTCCTGGCTCTCGAGGACCTCCAACCTCAGATTTCGGAGCAGATGCAACTTTGCACCGAGAAGGCTTTCCCGCTGAAACATGGTGTTCGCCTGCCTAGGCACTCTGCACACGTTTTCACGGCTTGCCCCTGGGCCGTGTTCGCCGCGGCCACCCACGACTTCACGAAAAGTCCAACGTTCTCTCCACTGCAGATCAACTCCATGTCGGATCCCTGCCCAGGCAGGCTATCTATCGAGCTGGGATATGTGCATGCATGCATGGGACTATCACGTACACACGACGCGTGTGCCTCCGGCTTCGGAACTTTCGCCTTCTTGGGCGGCGGCTGGGGGTCTTCCGTCGTCGTGCCGGGTGGCGCAGGCGCACTGCCTTTTCCCTTTGGAGCCGCCTTGCCGGGGGCCGGCACTGGCGGGTTCACCGAAGAAGTAGCCCCATCAGCAACTGGCAGGGCGCCGTTCATGGAGTCCAGCTGTGCCGCCACGGACGTGGCGAAGTTCGGGCAGACGCCCATGCTGATTGCGATTTCGTCCTCATTGTTTCCAACAGCACCGTGACATGAACTACTATACAACAGCATCCGGATCCGGACATGAGACAGTAGAAAAAGTGCCAAGACGCGATCGTACGAACCGTCAGGGTCCGTCGCTGGCGGCCGTAATATAGAAATGTCTCCATATCAGGATCATTCCGATCGCAACTGGTCCTGACACTTTCTGTTTTCATTAACTATTATGGAGCACACGGTACCCTAACTGAACTGCAAGACATGATCTTCACGCAACCGGTCCCTTTGGGCTCTGCTCTGCGTCTTGCAATGAAGGATAAGGCCTTCTGTTCGTTGCCCTCGTGAAAGGCGAGTATATCACGCCAGCAATAATATTCACCTGTGCATGACCACATCACATAGACCAACTAAGAAACCTTCCAAAAAAACGACACACATATTCGACAAACTCCCAGAAATATAGCACGGCTATACGTATAATATATATATATATATATATATACATACATATGGATATACATTATCTTCTGTATTTCGTATATGCTATAATATGAGAAAACTTCAATATAGGAATATGCGGATCCACCTTCGTCTTTGCTCTCCTCCTCGCTCTGCCGGCGGAACTGGAGGGCACATTCCAAAGCCGCAGGGTTACCTTTGGGATGACGGGATCGATGAATACATCTTTACACTCTCAGACACACAACGTGTACATTAATAATCTCAGCTACAGAGTACACGAGGCTACGGCGATACCCGTCGTCATATAGTTAGTGCATATACAATAATATATAAGCCTGGCCACAGCCTGTCAGAACAAACTTCTGGAACATTGCCAAGCGCGGTCCGCCCTGCACCCACACCTTCTTCAACTCCACTGCTCCCGGTGAGTTCTCGCAAAAGCGTTGGAACGAGCGGTACTCAGTCCTGTGGGTGCTTGAGTTGACCACAGGTCCCGTCGGCGGGGCTTTCGTCACAGCGGTCTGCGGTGGCAAAGGCGTCGAAGGAGCAGGTCCTGTCGGCGGGGCTTTCGTCACAGCGGTCTGTGGCGGCAAAGGCGTCGAAGGGCTCGCAGTGCTCGGCGGCGGCAAAGGCGTCGAAGGGCTTGCTGTGCTTGCCGGCGGCAAAGGCGTCGAAGGGCTTGCTGCTGTGCTGGCCGGCAAAGGCGTCGAAAAAGGGCTTGGCGGCAAAGCCGGCTGCGAGTCGATGATCTTCGTCTTGTCAACGGCCTCGACTCCAGCATCAGGGGCTTTTGCAGCAGCCACAATGCTGGCCATGGTCTGCTGAATGGCCGCAAGCCCCGCTGCATCAACACCATGGCTCACCGCCGTGCTGAGAACCGTCGCCAGCATCGTCGTCATGGCATCACTCGTCGGCTTTGCTGCAGCTGCTGTCGTCTGCTGCTGAAGCGGCACAGTCGGCAACGGCATCGGCTGGGGTACTGCCGGCGGCCCCTTCGGCACAGGTTGGCTGATGTCGGAGTCGACGGAATCCGCATCACTGGTCAACGACAGCGAGCTGCTCGAGCGGTACCGCGACCAGAAGTTGCCATACATCGCCTTCTCCTGCAAGGTCAGCTCCGGCAGCGCATACTCATCCTGTTGAATGAGAAATACAAAGAAAAATCATGCCAAATTATTATAGATCGCAGAAAATCACAATTAGCTGCTTTGCATAAGGCTTGACATATCACGAACCATCACTGCTCTACGTGGTGAATGTCCTTCACAGCAGCAGCCTTCGGCTTCGTCCTTGCCGCACTTTTCGCTTTCGCCGTCACGGGAGTCGGCGACGGCGACGGTGCCTTCACCAGCAGTGCTGCTGACGTGTCCGGTGCAACCAAGTCCTGCGAGACAGATCGCATTTCGGTCGGCACCAGAAAACACACACAGAAAGAAAATGTCACACTGCATGCATTATATTATGTGTCCCATACGACGGTGATACATCCTACACGTCGTGTGTTAGGGTTTAAGGGTTAGGGTTTAGGGTTTAGGGTGTATACATAGACCGGCCACGGACTCAGGTTTTGCGAATATTCCAGACAACATTAACAACGGAACCTGCCTGGGAGACTCGAGCCACCTTTGATGTGTCATCAAAGGAAGCAGCCGAAGCCAGTGTTGACACAGCGCTGCGATTCAGCCGGGGCGGGGGTTCGGGCGTGTCATTCACACTGATTGGCTCCTCCTGATCCATCTGCGTTTCAAGCTCTTGCACCATCTCCAAAATGGAGGGAGTTCCAGGCTGCTGCAGGAGCGTCCTTGCTGGCGGAAGGTTCTGCGGAACTGCACACGGAGCTGTCACCTCTTGCGGTCCACTTGCTGGCGGAAGGTTCTGCTGAACTGCACTAGGCGGAGCTGCCACCTGCTGCTGCGGTCCACTTGCCGGAAAGTTCTGCGGCGGATCTGCACTAGGAGCTGCCACCTGCTGCGGGGGGCCACTTGCCGGAAGGTTCTGCGGGGGCACTGCACTTGGAGCTGGCACCTGCTGCTGAGGGGGGCCACTTGCCGGAAGGTTCTGCTGCGGGGGAACTGCACTTGGAGCTGCCGTCTGCTGCGGGGGGCCACTTGCCGGAAGGTTCTGCTGCCAGGGAACTGCACTTGCAGCTGCCACCTGCTGCGCACCTGCTGGAAGGTTCTGCTGCGGAACTGCACCTGGAGCTGTCATCACCTGCTGCTGTGGTACACTTGCCAGGAGAAGGTTCTGCTGCGGAACTGCACAAGGAGCTGCCACCTGCTGCGGTCCACTTGCCGGAAGGTTCTGCTGCGGAACTGCACTTGGAGCTGTCACCTGCTGTGGCGGAAGGTTCTGCTGGGGAACTGCGCACGGAGCTGCCGCCTGCTGCGGTCCACCTGCTGCTGGCGGAAGGTTCTGCTGGGGAGCTGCACAAGGAGCCGCCATCTGCTGCATTCCACCTGCTGCTGGTGGAAGGTTCTGCTGCGGAGCTGCACAAGGAGTTGCTACCTGCTGCGGTCCACCTGGAAGGTTCTGCGGAACTGCACCCGGAGCCACGTGCTGCGGTCCACTTGCTGGAGGAAGGTTCTGCTGAGCTGGACTGGGCGGAGCTGCCACCTGCTGTTGCGGTCCACTTGCCTGAAAGTTCTGCGGCGGAACTGCACTACTGGGAGCTGCCACCTGCTGCGGGGGGCCACTTGCCGGAAGGTTCTGCTGCGGAACTGCACTAAGAGCTGCCACCTGCTGCTGCTGCTCTCCACTTGCCGGAAGGTTCTGCGGCGGAACTGCACTAGGAGCTGCCACCTGCTGCGGGGGGCCACTCGCCAGAAGGTTCTGCGGAACTGCACTAGGAGTTGTCACCTGCTGCTGCGGTCCACTTGCCGGAAGGTTCTGCGGCGGAACTGCACCAGGAGCTGCCACTGCCACCTGCTGCTGCTGCGCTCCACTTGCCGGAAGGTTCTGCGGCGGAACTGCACACGGAGCTGTCACCTGCTGCTGCGGTCCACTCGGCGCAAGGTTCTGCTGAACTGCACTAGGAGCTGTCACCTGCTGCTGCGGTCCACTCGGCGCAAGGTTCTGCTGAACTGCACTAGGCGGAGCTGCCACCTGCTGCTGCGGTCCACTTGGCGGAAGGTTCTGCGGGGGAACTGCACTGCTGGGAGCTGCCACCTGCTGCTGCGGTCCACTTGGCGGAAGGTTCTGCGGGGGAACTGCACTAGGAGCTGCCAGCTGGTGCTGCTGCGGTCCACCTGCTGGAAGGTTCAGCTGTGGAACAGCACCATCACGTGGCTGCAGCATCGTTGACCTTGTATAATCAGCAAGACTATATACTATAATCTAAGGCTATCCAGAACTTCTTAATTAATTCATTGAGAAATAATCTCTCTATACATATATATATATATATATGTATATACACACATATATTATATATGACATATATATGTTTACATAGGTATGTCAATATTGATCCGGCAAATACCACAAAGGGAAGCTCAATCCGCGGCTGCATTCTTATGTACCTGCTGTCCCTTTCCCATGGCAGTATGACAATAAGTAGCCTCCGGCACCCACCTGTCGCTTAATATGTAGTCCCCCCGAGCTGCGGGTTGCGCTCGCTTTTGTGTTTGTGTTTTGTGCCCGCAGGCACACCCAGCCTGTCCCCTGCGATAGCGCTTGCGATTTTTTGTGGTGTGCGTTGTGACCAGCCTCGCCGCTTCCCCTCCTACATATGTCAGTGGTCTTTTCCATGCAACGCGGTAGCGCTCGCGAAATTTCTGCGGGGTTGTTTTTTTGTGCCCAGGCTCGTGTGTTCCGATGATTCCAAGGGGGTAGCCCCCCCCCCCCCCCGCGGTAGCGCTCGCGAATTTTCTGTGGTGCGGTTTTGTGCCCAGGCACGTGTGTTCCGATTATTCCAAGGGGGTAGCCCCCCTCCGCGGTAGCGCTCGCGAATTTTCTGCGGTGTGTTTTCTGTGCCCAGGCACGTGTGTTCCGATTATCACAAGGGGGTAGGCCCCCCCCGCGGTAGCGCTCGCGAATTTCTGCGGTGTGTTTTCTGTGCCCAGGCACGTGTGTTCCGACTATTCCAAGGGGGTAGGCCCCCCCCGCGGTAGCGCTCGCGAATTTTCTGCGGTGTGTTTTCTGTGCCCAGGCACGTGTGTTCCGATTATTCCAAGGGGGTAGGCCCCCCCCGCGGTAGCGCTCGCGAATTTTCTGTTGTGTGTTCTTGTGCCCAGGCACGTGTGTTCCGATTATTCCAAGGGGGTAGGCCCCCCCCGCGGTAGCGCTCGCGAATTTTCTGTGGTGTGTTCTTGTGCCCAGGCACGTGTGTTCCGATTATTCCAAGGGGGTAGGCCCCCCCCGCGGTAGCGCTCGCGAATTTTTTGCGGTGTGTTTTTGTGCCCAGGCACGTGTGTTCCGAATATTCCAAGGAGGTAGGCCCCCCCCGCGGTAGCGCTCGCGAATTTTTTGCGGTGTGTTTTTGTGCCCAACACCTACCCACCCGCCCCCGCGTGTGCTATTTTTATGTGTGCCGTGGAAAGAGCAACCCCCGTGCTTATAGTGTGTGTGTGTGTATATATATATATATATATATATTTATATTTATTTATGTATTATTACTGTTATAGAGTAGGAGGACAGGAGAGGAGAGGAGAGGAGAGGAGAGGAGAGGAGAGGAGAGAGGATGGGGAGGATGGTAGTGACGCCGAATGGCATCTTCTGCCGCACCATCTCCTGTTGCTCTGCAGAAAGCCCAATCTGACCCAGCAGCAAAGCATCGATCGAGGAAGTCACTTCCTCGGATTTGTTTGCATACATATAGATATGTATATAGGAGAACATACCAACACACAAGCAATAGTGTGTGTGTATACATAGCAAGCATCGGAAGCTGCAGCCGCCGGGAGCACAGCCGGCGGTTTGCCGGCAGGTTTGGGTTTCCCCATCATCGAATTGCGAATCTCAAAGCCGTCACTACAGACTGCAATGCTTGATTTCCACACAAGCAGCACAAGAAACAAGGATGACTGATCCATCGCGAACCAATGCTGAACGAATCTCACAAGCTCCGAAGCACATCGGATGCCATCGCGAACACGATTTTCAGGGTTTTGGGTCCTACGTGTTGAGTTCACAGATTCTACGCATTTTCCCTTGTTTTTCACATGTTTTTCACATGTTTTCGACAAGTGTGTTTTCAGCATAATGATGGTGATCAAACGTTACTCGGATGTTATTTGCAACATACTTTTCAGGTTTTGGGTCCTACGTGTTGAGTTCACAGATTCTACGCATTTTCCCTTGTTTTCGACAGCTTTTTCACAGGTTTTCGACAAGTGTGTTTTCAGCATAATGATGGTGATCAAACGTTACTCGGATGTTATTTGCAACATACTTTTAGGTTTTGGGTCCTAAATGTTGAGTTCACAGATTCTACGCATTTTCCCTTGTTTTCGACAGCTTTTTCACAGGTTTTCGACAAAGGGTTTTGTGCCCTTGCGATGTCGATCCAACACACACACAGAATCATGAGATGCTATTTGATGATGTTTGTATGTTGCACGCTGTTGTTCTTGAAGTCCACATTTGCATTTCGTGACATCGCCCGGCAAGCACAACCCAGCATTGCCTTTCCCCAGGTTGCTGGGCTACAAACCTTTGCGATGCCCTAGGCAAAATCGCTCGGCCAGACCTTCGGCAGCCTTAGCTTTCCACTATTCAGCATAAAGTGCACCACCTGTAGCAGCGATGCCTGAGCTCATGCAATGGCAGGAGACGTACCGAGATGGTTTGTTTCTCTCAGTGCCGCCTAAGTACGTCCTCCTGCCAATCGATGGGCTCCGCAAACAGCAAGGTAATTTGTGCCTTCAAGTCGTACGTGTTGTCGTCAGCGGCAGCGAACACGTGTGGCCACGATTGCTCGTGGCATCCAGCACAGGATTCCTGTTTTTCTTTTTTTCTGAATGGGTTCCTCTCTGTGAACTGTTCTCAGGCCTCTAGGATCATCGAAACAGCCTCAATGCGATGTCTCCGTCAAAACTCAGGTTTAGCTAGCTAGATTACAGTAGAAGCCAGAAAGTTGGAACATGAGTTTAGGAGGATTAGTGCCCGTTTCCTTTACCTTAAGGGCATGAGGATACTAATGTTCCAACTTTCTGGCTTCTACCATAATCTATGGGATACGATACAAACCCTGATCAAGCAGAATCTGGAATCCAGTGTAGAATTGTAAACCTCCAAAGATGCAACGATCGAGTGGAGCCGACGATGGCTGATTCATCGCCAGCAGCCAGGGCCAGGCGACGTCCAGATTTGGATGGATGGATGGGCTCTAATAAAATGAGTGTATATGTATACATATGTATATATATATATCAGGGACATTATTTTGTGATTATTTTTATGAATAGACCCTAAGGCTCCATGTACCCTTATAGTAGATTGATACTTAGGCCTTAAAGTATCTATATAGGGAGTACTTTGGGGCTTAAGTATCTACTACAAAGGTACATGGAGCCTTTGGGAGATAAATGGTTAGTTGCATATATATATATATATATATATATATCTATATATATCTATATATAGTCAGATATCAAAGACGAACAGATAGATACAGCGGGGCTTTTATCAGACGAGCAGTCAGCAAGGTGTCGGCTTCGGGGCTCCAGACTGGGTGTATTCGTGTACTCAGTACATTAGTACGGGCTTGGGGGTGTAGGGGTATATAGTTGACAGCACAATAAAGCGGAATAACTATTGCATGGGTCAAGTTATAACAAACTTATCTCTCCAACTATCATTTGGGAGGGCAAAGTTGAAGAACATCCCCAAGTGCGGATGGATGTTAAAGTCTATATTATATTGCTTCAGGTTGAAAGAAAACTACAACCTGTAGGTTCAAGGTTCAGGCTTTGGAGTACGTATATAGAGGATATACAGGACACTATATGGCGCTCATATATAGAGGAAACCCCATCACAGTCCTATCCGCGTGACACCGAAGCCCGAACTCCTGCTATATATGCAGAAATACTCGCCAACGGACACCGAAGCTGCAGCAAACCGTACCCTAACGAAAAGCCCAGCATCAGTTTAATCGTATAAAGTCCATGATTCTGTCCTACCGGTTCCTCAAACATAATCGAGAAACTTCTACAAAGCGGCAGACCAACATCCCAGCGCAACCGGCGATATATAACCCGGCCCAACACTGATTGCTACGTGTAGGTCCCAGCGTCCTCGCAATTGGCAGCCGCCCAAGCATCGAGCACCGCTTTGGCGAAGTCCGGGGTGTATTGCCTGGGACCAGAACAATTAGTCATCGAATAAAACAGATGTGATTGTGCGGTTTGCAAGTGAAGGGCTCCGGCTGAAATACAACCATCGATGTGTCGGGAACTTTATTGATCAGGTTATCTCAACGTCAATTCTAGATCGAGGAAGTGCGTAATATTCATGGGCGAAACATATGCCGGTTGATCGTCGCAGAAGGCTTGATACTTGAAGTTTCGGTTTCCGGGTCGCAAATTGCGGACTTGAACTCTTTCTGAATTACGGAACATAACAAACTTACATAGAGGATTATAGGCGTAAAGTCCACTTGGAAGCAGGTCGCAGTGCCTTGTACAACGAGTTCGTCCATGAATGAAGCACGTACTTATGGTGCTAAGGCTTGGAGTTTGGAGATGTCAAAGCAGTTGATCTAGCTGCCCAACCCTTTGTATGCTGGACCCTAGCTACATGGCAAGAGAAAAACCCCTGAGTGTTGAATATACGATAATCAGGTGTACCCAGCAAGCCTAACCTGAATGAAACAGCATAATGACATAGTGTTTAGCCATTGAACCTTACAGCAGCCAAGGGCACTGAGTGTCCTTCACGTCCTTCGGCTTGCCAGTCACAGTGGGGTTGCCACGTTCCTGAGATGTATTCGCATGCAAGATTCTACCACAGCACGAACACAAATGCGACGATTATTAGAGATTCGTCATTCCCGACTATGGGATCACACGTGTATTACATGATGTGTCACCCCATATCCCGATATATTGAGTATAGAATATAAGGCTTACAATAAGAAAGGCATCTCTATACACCGGCATCATCATGCGGTGATTCTACGTCATTAATGCGTGGGCTTGAGGTCGACATCAACGTACTATGGGAGTGTGTATACATTATATGTGTATGTCGGTATACATATAAAGTGTGCATGGATGCCATGTAATGTGTTATGCTACACCTTAGCATATATATATATATACACACACATGTACACACGAACATAGAAAGCA